AGCGCGCGCGCGCGCGCGTCGCGCGCGTCGTACGCGTCGTACGTCGTCGTCGTCGTCGTCGTCGTCGTCGTCGTCGTCGTCGTTCGTCGTTCGTTCGTTCTTCTTCTTCTTCTTCTTCTTCTTCTTCTTCTTCTTCTTCTTCTTCTTCTCCTTCTTCTTTTTCTTCCCCCACCGCGCACCTCCTGCACTTACTTGATTTCTCTCAGGTTATTGCTAGTTGGTGGGGAAATGGCCAGGAGGGATCAAGGACATCTCTGGGTGGGTGTCCTATTACTCCTTGCTTCTACTTTGGCTTGGGAAGCCTGGGTGTGTGGTGGAAGGAGGGCCTGAACCCTTTGTTTCGTTTCCACTCCCTCCTCCTCCCCTTCTTTCCCTTTGAAGCCTGCCGGGCAGTCAGCCCTCACTTTCCCTTTTTCTACTCCTCCCTCTAGGAAAGCTCCTGGAACTCCTCGAGCTGAGGGCCCACCTATCCCCAGCTTGTAATGAAAAGTGAATAAATAAATGAGCGAAGTCAATTGTAGGCTTCAAGATCATTATGTTTGGGAGTGGGGGTGTTTCTTTTTTCTTTTTTAACACCTTTATTGTGATATGGTTCCTGTAGAGTTTCTTCATCAGTGTAAGGTGAGCCTTACTTCCCGTCTTGGAGTACAGGAGTTGGGGAGGTGAGGATTAGAGTGGACCTCTGGAAAAAGTGTGCTTCCTCGCTGGCTGGACCTAGCTGCCCTCTTAACCGGCACTCCCAGTACAGGAGGACACTGTCCTAGGTCCTGAGGCCCACCACCCACAGAGAGATTCCGAGGGCACAAGCTATTTTGTTGAAATGTGGATAGCAGGCATGGCTGAAGAAGGGATGCCTAAGACATAAATTTAGGGCTTGCTCAGACATTTTCTAGTTGTGTAACTAGGCTCTCTGAGCCTCAGTTTCTTCATCTGTAAAAGAAGCATCAAACCAACCTGGCCTATCTGGAAAATTTACTAGGGTTGAAATTTAAAATGATTGTCACTTCTTGTTTCCTAATTCTTGCTAACAGTCTTTAATAGGCTGAAATTGCACTATTCAAGGAGTTTGCTAGAGGGTTAGGCCACACATCCAGTTTTAACTACGGGTCTAGCCAGATCACCAGATCTGATGCCTAGGCTGTATAAATTTGGCTCCTCATGGAATTGCTTTTACTGAACTTCCATTTGTATTTGGCCAACAGCTACCTGGGTTTACAGGTATATTATTGAAGCTGTAGATCAGTTGATTGAACACTACTGTGTTTATGAGCTTCATAGAGAAGTTCTGTTTAACCTCAGCACTTGGTAAAGATATTTCTCCTGATGAGTGGTTTGCTTTTATCTTTGAAGTACCAAGGATCTCATAACTGATCATAGTTTTCTCTTTGCCCTGGTTTCTATGGGGCTCAGAGCCAAATTTGCTTAGCATTTTTGTGTAAAACCTGGGTCCTGAACTGTTATCCCTAGTCTCCAACTTATTTTCCTTCCTTGTTTTTTTTTTTTTAAATTATAAAACACAGGAAGGTGTGATGGCTCTGCTGTGTGACCTTAGGTAAATAATTTAATGCTCCTGAACCAATTTCCTCCTTGTAAATGGGGATGATGGTATTAGGACCTATCTCATAAGGTTATTGAGAAGATGCCATGAAATCCTACACACAAAATGTTTACTACAGTGTCTCGCATGTATTAAGTGCTGAAATGTTAGTGTTTGTTTTTAAAAAGTAGTTTACAATACAGAAATGTGTGAAATAGGAAGTTAATATCTTTTCTAATATCCCTTACCCTCAAATGATCACTGTGAGGTCCAATCTAGTATTTTTTCCTCTTTTTCTCTGTACATAGTATTAATTACATAAAAGGAATTACAGTGTTTGGTCTGTGGCATTTTACATTAAGTATATCTTGGACATTATTTCCTGCCAGTGCACATGGAGTTACCTTATTCTTTTAACAGCCACCCAATATTTTATAGCATTTGGATTCTTTCCAAAGTTTTTTTTTTTTGAAATTCAAATGGCTTTTATTTTCATATTCACTGAACTTCCCCAAACTGGGTCTTGCTTACAAGAGTTCTTGGTGGTTTTCTCCCTGGCTCTGTCCCTGACTTACCCTTGGAGCCAGGATGTGTTGAGGTGGTCCAGCATGTGGAAGGGAGAAGAGAGGAAACAGCCAGGAATGACTCCAACCCCATCCCTTCTCATGGACTCCCAGGAGCTTCCCATGTCCACTTAGGGAGAGAGGAAGGAAGATTTTCTTTACTCTTTGTAATCTTGCTTCCACCAAAACATGTCAAGGTGTAAAACCTAGCTATTCAGTCATCTTTAGGGAACATGGCAAAGGGCCTTTCCTTTTTCTCAAACAAAAAGGGCTTTGGACCCCAGGTTTTCCCTAAGGGAGGAAGAAAAAGCTTAGGGAGAGCAGAGAGCAGGAGAGAAGTCAAAAGAATCCAAAGTCTCATAGAAAGGCACTGGGGTTCTTTCCAAAGTTTTTAGCTATTGAAAGTCCACCCAACAGATTTCTTGAGTGCCTTTTATTTGCCAGGGATTGCTCCCTGAGCATACAGTAGTGAATGAAACAACTCTGGCAGTCTCTGTACTTACAGAGCTTGCATTTTAGTAGGGAGACGTGGGGATGGGGCAACAGGCAAATAGATAAAGAGCAGTTGTTACAAGTATGACAGCAGGACTAAGAGGCTGAAACAGAAAATGTGGGTGGAGTAGCAAAACTTAGAATAAGGTAATCAGGGAAGGCTTCTGTGAAGAGGTGACATTTAAGCTGCAATCTAAAAAATATGAAGAAGCTAGCCATGCAGAGAGAAGTGTGAGAGGAAGCCAGGCAGAGGGCATGGTGAGTGTAAAGGCCCTGAGGAGTGAAAATTACCTTCATTCACTTGACAGGCATGGAACCCACAATATGCCTGCCAGGCATTATTCTAGACACTGACATTACAGGAGAAAACCAAACAACTCCCTGCCATGACAGAGCTTACTTTAGAGGTATAATGTAGAGAAAGAGACTGACAACAAGCAAATGGGTGAATACACAATGTAATGTCAAATAGTGATAAGTGATGGAGTGCTGTTTTCAATAGGATGGTTAGGGAAGGCTTCTCTGAAGAGGTGACTCTTGAGTAGAGACCTAATAAAGACCTTTACAAGCCATTTGAATACCTGGGGGAGAAAAGCAAGTACAACAACCTTGTGGCTGGAGTGTTCTTGTCCTGTGAGTGAGTGGAAAAGTGACAGTTAATGAGGTTAGAGATGAAGCTCGATCCTGTGGCACCTTGAAGGTGCTTTTGGATTTTCTTCTTAGAGATAGAGAGTTATGAGCAGGGGGAAATGGGATCAGGTTTTTAAAAAATTATTTTGGACATTGTGCAGGAAAGAGACTGTAGAGGGACAATGGTGGAAATAGACCAGTTAGGAGGCTTTGGAAGTAATATGGGCAAAAAATAAAGATAATGGCTTGGTCTTATTTGGAGTTAGTGAGGATGATGAGAAAATAAACATCCATGAATATGCATCTTTGTTCACATATACAAGTGTTAAATTGTGGAATCTAAAGTCTTAGAATTAGAAATTCAATCACTGAACAGACACCCCAGTAGCATCAAGCACAGCCAGTACCCAGATTTTTGGTTCTAAATTCCATTCTCCACTAAAAGGAGCCTGTCCCCTTGGAAAAATGGCTGATTCCAAGGCTGTGGCAGGGAACGTTCAAGATAAGCCTGGAACAACTTGTGCCAGAAAATAAAGGACTCCTCAAAAATGTCAAAAGAACAAAGGAGCCAGCTTGAAGGGACTTTGAACAAATCAGGGACAATTTCAGCATCAAAACAAATAATTACAGTAACAGATTATAACCTACTGAATAAAACAAGGATCCATAAGTCCATACAAATATTAACTAAATAAATACATATGAAAGGAAAGCTCTTCCTTACAGTAGAAGGAATAATGAAATTAGAAAATCACCATTCCCAGTCATCATAGTAATAATTGATTGAGGTGAGACTTATTCCTGGATATTAAAACTAATGGCTGAAACCATGAGAAACCAGATATTTATATCATTTCAAAATATGTTCCAATGAGATGTTTATTAAGTACAAATTTAAAAATAGTAACCTGTTAGCACAATAGGGAAAACTGGTGGATAAGACTTTAATCCCATTGCAGGAGTCCCTCTTAAGCAAAGTCTTTCTTACCGTCTTTAACGAGCGACTTTAAAGTTTTTTCTTTAGCAGAAACAAATCGACATCATAAGCTTTCTGATGTGTTAACCTGAGAAAACACAACATCAATTCAGCAGCAAGGCATAATTATGAGGAAGCATAAGATAAACCTAAATTGAGAGAAAATTGTTCCAAACTGTCAATGTCATAAAAGACAAAGGAAAGCTGAGAAACTGTTTCAGGTCAAAGGAAACTAAAGAGACATGAAAACTAAATGCAGTGCATGATCCTGTTTTGGATCCTGGACCAGAATGAAAATTGTTGTGAAGGACAGTATTGGGACAAGTAGCAAGATCTGAATAAGGACTATAGATTAGAGAAGCAACATGGCAAAAGGTTAACAATTGGTGAATCTGGTAGAAGGGTAAGCAAGAGTTCTTTGCACTATTTTGGCAACTTTTCTGTAAGGTTGAAATAATTACTAACTAAAAATAAAAATATCTCACAGATTTTATGTTTTAATTTTGGAGAATGTCTGCATACTGGTAAGCTTCCTCAAATCCTTTTTTGAAACAGGGCAGGTTTCAAGTAAATCATGAGTCTCATAGCAAATAAGGTGTGTTCTGAATTCCCTTTCTTCTCTATCCTCTCAGGTCCAGACCCTTGAAGTCTCAACTTCCCCATCTCTGAGGATCCCTTTTGCTCCTCTTCCCTTCCACTTATGCCCTGGTAATGCCCAGAGGCTTCACACAATTTACCCCTATCCCACTGCCCCAGTGAGTGAGGAGGCCTCTGATTACAAGCTTTTTGAAGGAGGTGCTGCCACCCAGCTCAGTCCAGCATGCCATTACTTCCAAATCCCAGTGCTTGCTCCAGCCCTATGGGTGTAAGTAAACCCTACAGGGAGACTAGATGTTTCTTCCTTTGATCTTTTCTTTGAACTTAATCCTGAGAAGTTTAGAACTCATAAAACATCTGGGCTGCCAGGGACCTTGCTGTTCACCTGGTCCAACCCCCTCAATTTACCTTATGCTGGGAAACTGAGGCCAGAGAGAAGGAGTTACTCACCCAAGGTCACACAGTAGGTGAGAATCCGGAGCTTCTAGATCCCAGCAGGGGTTGGGCCACCAAACCCTGGTCCTGATGGCCTTGTCCTCCTTGCCTTGCCTAGCCTTATCCAGCTGTGGCATCTGGTTAGGAGCCCTTCCCTCAATCAACCCTGTCTGACCAATTTTAAGCCCTATCATGCCTCCCAGCTGAGTAGCTCACATTCTACTTAAG